ACGGGCCGATGAACTCAAGACAGAATGATTTTCTTCCAAATTGGACAGGTTCCAAGCATAGAGTTTGGGTGCGCTCTTCTGGGGCAAATGATCGAGGTAGGGTTGTAGCCAAGCGGGAGCCATTTTGGGAGCGCTCCGTAGAGTCGACGAGGACCGGTGCAGGGACCGAAGGCCGTGACCAACCGTTGAAATAATGCCAAGTGGAGAGCGCCTAATCATGGTTCTAGTCACAGAAAAACAGAGACCATTGCTAGGCGTGGATTTATACGAAGTTTGCTTTTGGATAGACGCAATAGTTGTTTGGGTGTAAGGTAGTTGAATCCCAGCAATGGCAAGATGAGCAGAGAGGTGCGCACGGAGTACCCTTATGGGCTCCTTCTTTGCATGGGATGCCGCATTAGTCAGGTGTGGCTGTCCTGCCGATTCTCATTGTGGCTGGGAAAGAGCCTCGAGCTTAGAAGTCTAAAGGGCTTGCCTGAACAGTGCTTACCTAAGACAGCCCCATACCGATGGTAATTACGGGACCGACAAATTCTACCAATCAAATTTGTCACAAAGTTTTACCATTAAGATCCCTGTCCAGAGCAGCTGACTGCGCGAACCGTTCGCTCCTGCCTCGCCGTGGCGTCATCGTTTTCCGGAGCAAATCGCTGGTGTACGCTCAAGCCTGACGCGCTGCTGCCTGTCCTGAATCTTTGCCTCACGATCTCACCGGAGTGAGTCACTCCTCCAACACACACGATTTTCCTCACGAAGGTCTCTTGGAATCTGAATCCTGCTTGTCGCTTACTTAACTTGGTACCTTCATGCATGTCCGCCACCTGAGCTCATAGCCATTCTCAACTTCACTCAATTCTCATATCCTCAACCACCAGCACGGCTGGTTGTGTGCGCTCAACTAGCTCATCAAAACCGGAAACTTCAAAGTCCATATTTCGGCAGTCGTAGTCCGGAACATCGGGCATGGATTCATGAAATTTCTCCGTCATCGGATCTCAAGATGTCGTCCGACAAAGAAGATAGTGGCATAGTTGCCGAGAAAACAAGTGAGGAAAGCACACCTTCCAGCACTGAAGCAGATGCACCCAGAACCACAGCAGTTCAGTTTGAGGGCGACGAGGCGGCATTTTTGCGAACCATCACAGCCGATATCCGGGATCAAGATGACTTAGAGCGCGACATTACAACACAGGCCAACGCCGCCTTAATTGAGGCAGAAGACAAGAAGGATAAGCAGCGCATTGAAAAGCTGGAAGCCACCAAAGATAAACTCGAGGCAAAAAGAGTAGACCAACGAAAGAAGCTAGAAGGAGCTCGACGGAACCCTTATCAATCACGGATCATACAGAAGGAGCTCGACAAGCTGGACCTAGAGATTGAGAATGCTATCAACGACATCTCGGACTGCCAAGCTCGCATTGATAAGAGGCAAGAAGAGATTGTGGTCGTGGACGATCCTGTTAAGAGCAAGTCTAAACGCTTGGCCGGCGAGTCACACAGAGAGTACCTTGTCCGGACCGGAAAGATTACGCCCTTTGCCAACATTGGTGGCGAACGACCTGATGGTTTCGAAGGAGAGCTAGCAGATGTTCTTGTCGAGGCTGAGCAAGACGCGGCTGCAGAGGAATACCGGAGCGACGATGAAGAGCCGAAGTCTCATCAAGTATTGCGCATGCCCGGCTTTGCTGAACATCCAGAAGCAGCTCCGGCATCCGCTGAGACTGAATTTTCTCTACGGCCGAGAAAAAAGCGCAAGGTGGATGAAGGAGCATCGTCCGATGAATTTGATGCGTCGGCTGTCAGTTCGGCTGAAAGCCAGTACGCTTCGGACACTAGTGAGGAAGAAGCTACGGGTCGCAAGCGCAAGAAGGGCACAACTACGGATAAGAAGAATAAGCGTAAGAAGGCTGCTGAGAATACAGTCACCGTTGGTAACACAAAAGTCGACCTGAGCAGCGTCGACGACGGAAATGAGGCGATCTATCAAGCACGCCTTGCCGATTGGGTCAGGAGACGGAGTGCAGCTCGTCAACAACAAAATGGCAATGCTGATGGCGACGCTTCAACTGAAGAGAATGGCGAGGAAGAGTGGTTCAAACCTTCACCTGATCAGCCTGATCACGAATTTGGTAACGGGCTAAGGCTCCCGGGAGACATTCATGCGTCGCTCTTCGCGTATCAAAAGACTGGTGTTCATTGGCTTGCCGAGCTCTACGAGCAAGGCGTAGGTGGCATCATCGGGGACGAGATGGGCCTTGGAAAGACAGGTAAGAAGTCTTGATGGCAGATGAATGAAATATTTCTAATACGCTCAATAGTGCAAGCAATTGCTTTCGTTGCGGCGTTGCACTACACCAAGAAGCTTGACAAGCCCGTCATAGTAGTCGTCCCCGCGACTGTCATGCAGCAGTGGGTTAATGAATTCCACCGATGGTGGCCTCCTTTAAGAGTGTCGATTCTGCACTCGTCTGGTAGCGGCATGGTCAATGTGGCTGAGGATGATGACGATGAAGATTATCCTGGAGATAGGACGAATCGTGACGCCGCAGAGCGTATCGTCAGGCGCGTTGCCAAGCATGGACACGTTCTGGTCACCACGTACGCTGGCTTGAACACCTATGGCGAGCAACTACTGTCCCTGGAATGGGGCTACGCCATCCTCGACGAGGGGCACAGAATTCGCACTCCCAACGCGAATGTCACATATCAAGCCAAGTGTCTCAACACACCACATCGGCTGATCCTGTCGGGTACACCAATCCAGAATAATCTCACTGAGCTGTGGTCGTTATTTGACTTCATTTTCCCCATGCGACTAGGAACTCTGGTCAACTTCAGACAACAGTTTGAGATTCCTATCAAGATGGGCGGGCACGCGAATGCGACTAATCTTGCAGTCATGACTGCTGAGAAATGCGCGACGACTTTGAAGGAAACCATCAGCCAATACCTGCTTCAGCGGCTTAAGGTTGACGTGGCGTCAGACCTGCCGGAAAAGACGGAACAGGTGCTGTTCTGCAAGTTAACGCCGGAACAAAATGAGGAGTACGTTAGGTTCATTCATTCGGATGCGGTCTCTCAGATCATGGCCAAAAAGCGTCAATCCCTCTACGGAATCGATATCCTGCGGAAGATCTGCAACCATCCGGATCTTGTTAGTGTAAACAGGAAGAACCAACCAGGATACGATTGGGGAAGCCCCAGAAGATCTGGCAAGTTACAGATGGTCGGCGACCTTCTTCCGATGTGGAAGAAGTTTGGGCATAAAACGCTGCTATTCTCCCAAACCAAGATTATGCTCAACATCATCCAGGACTATATCGGCAAGATGGAGGGAATGAACTACCTACGCATGGATGGAGATGTCACTATCGAGAAGAGACAAGTTTTGATCGACAAGTTCAACAACGATCCCTCTATTGACGTGTTCCTGTTGACGACTAAGGTCGGCGGCTTAGGTGTGAACCTCACCGGAGCGACCAGGATCATCATCTACGACCCTGACTGGAATCCGTCAACTGACTTGCAAGCGCGAGAGAGAGCCTGGCGACTCGGCCAGACAAAGCCAGTCGCCATTTACCGGCTAATGACTTCGGGTACTATCGAGGAGAAGATTTACCACCGCCAGATCTTCAAGCAATTTATGACGAACAAAGTCCTCAAAGATCCGAAGCAGCGGGCCAACTTCGATCTTTCTGACCTTTATGACCTGTTCAGCTTCGGCGACAATAGCCATAGTATGGCCAGCGCCAACAGAAGCAAGGTCTTTGAGGGTGCGGAAGTCAAGTTCAATCAGTCAGAGGGCCACAATCAGCTGGAGAAGCCGTCAAAGAACGCCGTACCCATCTCCTCCGTCAAGGCAGAAGATGAGGTCGACACGGTCAGCAAGCTCTCCGGCGTCGCTGCGATGGAGGAGTTCACAGAGCCTACAGATGACAGCGAGGAGAAGCGCATTACCGAGAATCTGTTTTCTCGAACTGTGGATAGCGCCTACGAGCATGACCAAATCATGAATGGCAAGAAGAAGGTGCAGGCTGACCAGGCTATGAATCGACACGAGGCGAACAAGATAGCGGCCCAGGCTGCCGCCCATCTGCGACGAGCTGGAGAGGCTGCGCGCCGTATCCCCATCGGAACTGTCACCTGGACTGGCGAGATAGGCGAGGGAGGCCGACCTACTGCACCGCGACGCCGCGGAGTGAATTCTTCGGCGGTCATGTCTTCCCTCGCGGATCGTCAGGGGATCGGTCAGCCGGCCAGCGGCTCCAGTTCACGGGGCAACACTCCAAGTACGGACAAGCCCTTGAAGGAGAAGGATTTCATACCCTTGATCCAGACTTTCATGAGACGTCAAGGTGGCAAGGCAGTGACTAAAATGCTGGTGGATCATTTCAATCCGTATTGCAAGACTCCAAAGCAGACGGACGACTTCAAAAGTGCCTTGGACAGGGTAGCCGTCCTGGGAAAGACGGGTGGCACGGGTAGGGGTACCTGGACGCTAAAGCCTGCTTTCAAGTAGCTGCTGAACAATTCTAGTTGCCCTTGGACGACCCGAGGGCCATGATGAAAATATTAAGGATCAGGAGAATGGCGTTCCGGGCAAGCGTGGTCACTTTCAGGCTTATACGTGGCATAGATCCGCCCTGGTCATATCAAAACCATTTCGCTGGGTTTCATAGAATCAAGACCTAAGACAATGAATGAAGCAGTGGCTTAGGCTATTTAGTGATTCACACATCACGTCACAGCATCGCAGTGTGCACAAATTTGTCGAGGGTTCAGGAGCTACTCTTCAGTTCAGGCCATATATGGCGAGTTTCTATTCTGTCTACGATAGATACTGTCGCCCGCAGCAGAAGGCATGTCACAGTGCGTAGAGGTAGAGTGGGGACCAGGCTAAGGCGCCGTTCCCCGCGTTTTTCGCGATGCCACCAAGAAACCAAATAATGAGCGCTCCTGTCCCACGGAAGCCACCCAGGTAATGATGTAAAACCGGGCGCTCAGAGACGACGACCGCGGCGACCACCCTTTCTGCGGGTAGAGTCGGAGGGCGTGGGAGTGACGTCCTCAATGCGGCCGATCTTCATGCCGGAACGGGCCAGAGCACGGAGGGCAGACTGGGCACCGGGGCCGGGGGTCTTGGTGCCGTTACCTGAGGTATCAAATCAGCGCGACGGCTCGTGAGAGGCTATTGAGGGGGTCTTGGACTTACCACCGGTGGCACGGATCTTGATGTGGAGGGCAGTGATGCCGAGCTCCTTGCAGCGGGTAGCGACGTCCTGGGCAGCCAACATGGCAGCGTAGGGGGAGGACTCGTCACGGTCGGCCTTGACCTTCATACCACCAGTGACACGGCAGATGGTCTCACGGCCGCTGGAATCACCCAGTTAGCCATCTTGCACCATCACGGGTATTGATATTGTCTTCATGTTCGCCAACGAGGGAGGGGTATTCCTGAACTCGGAGGCAAAACGATGGATGGTGAGACCTACGAAAGATCGGTGACGTGGACGAAGGTATCGTTGAAGGAGGCGAAGATACGGGCAACGCCGAAGACGAGCTCGCCTGAAGATCGCGGGGTAGTCAGCAAAATTGCTTCATTTTCTCGTGTTGCGGTCGGCGCACGCAAATTGAATGCGCGACGTCACAGTCGAATGGAATCCGGGCACAACTCACCCTCGCGGACCTGGGGACCCAAGGAGATGTTCTCCTGGGCGGGACGGACGGTCTTGGACTTGGGAGGCATCGTGACTGCTGTGTTTGGCGAATTGTCTTTCGGTGGTGGTTAGTCGGAGTGGTTGGCAAAGGGAAGCTCTCTCAATCCGTCTCTCGCAATAATCCCAAACGAAATTTCACAAAGCCCAGCCCTGCACACACGAACAAAAAAAAGTGGACGAGAATGCCCTGACGGGGGTCGGGCGGTTGGCGGGGGCAGAATGACCTGGACTGGCTTAGCGCTTTGAGAAACCCTATCTAAGCGAGAAATAATGAGAGCGGTGAGAATTTCAATTTGCTGGTGGTGGCCCATGCACCAGCCCCAGCGGAGCCTGCGAAATTTTGGGTAAAACTTCTGCGATCCCGCGGTCTTTTCTATTTTCCCTCCTTCTTCTGATCCAGCGACCAATTTTCGACGACAACCGCCGACGACAACCAAACCCGCCTTCACAATGGCCGCCACCACGTATGTACACCAATGCTCTTGAGTAGCAGCGGCAGCATTTCCCCCTTCGTTCCGTTTGCGATGTCTTGCAGATTGTCGTGGTCCTCTCGCTGGAGTCCTTGCTTCACCCCGTCGTGAATGCCTGGCTCTCAGCTCGAACCCTCCTGGGCAACCTCCCTCCTTCCTTCATGACCTGGAATATGGCTTGCGGATTGAGAGACGGTGCTCGGGGTGTTGGGGATGAACGGTAACTCGTTCTCCCTCAAAAACATTGCCGCTTGTTGGACTCTCTTCGCAGTGCTGAAAAGTCTGCTTGTGGGCCACACATGCGTGCACATACTCTTGAACACTTTGCTGTGCTTTGAGGTGTTGTCGGATGAGCATCGTGCCACGGTGATCATTGCTCCACTGGAGCTATTGCTACTACCTGGCTTGCTCACCGATCAAAGTCATGAACTTCGAGTTAGCCACAGCGAGAATGTCGCGCTTCAGCTACAATTCTCGCAACGGCGCTCTACCCATGCTGCTTGCAGTATGTCGGACTGCGTACTAATCTGATTTGCAACAGTTCCGTCCCCACCTCCAACCAGGTTCTGGTTCCGGAGACCCTCCTCAAGAAGCGCAAGTCTCAGGAGAAGGCTCGCGCTGAGCGCAACTCGGCCACCGAGAAGCGCAAGGCTGTAAGTATATCTCTGCTTTCACTATCTACCCCATTCCCCGCCTTCATGATGCATAACATACCTTTCACAACTAGACTACGGTCGATGCAGTTGGAATTAACCTTCTTTCGGGTCTGACATTTGCCGGATCATTCACATTTTCAATGCATATCTGATCTAAGAAACATCGCTAACATGTTTCCTAAAGGCCAACAAGGAGAAGCGTGGCGTCATCTTCAAGCGTGCTGAGAAGTACGTCAAGGAGTACCGCGACGCAGAGCGCGAGAAGGTCCGCCTCTCCCGCGTTGCCCGCGAGAACGACTCCGCCTACGTTCCCGCTGAGGCCAACCTGATCTTCCTTATCCGCATCAAGGGTATCAACAAGATCGCCCCCAAGCCCCGCAAGATCCTCCAGCTTCTCCGTCTCCTCCAGATCAACAACGGAGTTTTCATCAAGATCACTAAGGCCACCACCGAGATGATCAAGATCATCGAGCCGTGGGTCGCCTACGGTTACCCCAACCTCAAGTCCGTCAAGGAGCTTGTCTACAAGCGCGGTTACGGAAAGGTCAACAAGCAGCGTGTTGCCCTCACCGACAACTCCATCATCGAGGAGAACCTCGGCAAGTACGGCATCGTCTGCATGGAGGATCTCATCCACGAGATCTACACCGTCGGCCCCAACTTCAAGCAGGCCTCCAACTTCCTCTGGCCCTTCAAGCTCTCCAACCCCACTGGCGGCTTCCGCCCCCGCAAGTTCAAGCACTTCATCGAGGGTGGTGACCTTGGCAACCGCGAGGAGAAGATCAACGCCCTCATCCGCCAGATGAACTAAACTGGTTGTTTGTAAGGCTTCATGATCAACAAAAATGGGGATTTGGCAGGGTTTGTCTAGTTACTCGGGACTTCGGCAGGTTTGAGAATACCAAGGGTTTATTACATGATTGGCACGGTTGCACGGCGTTGATAACCACAAAAGGGAATTTGTGAATTGATCATTTGACGACCACTGGATTCTCCATCCTCCTTGTTCAATGGGTAGCAATGCAAGCCTCTTCAGAGAGTTGTATGTGTAATGTGCATGTGTGACTGTGGTGATGTCTCATGGTATCTCAAGTCCTGATCCAAGAGGAGTGTTTGTACGCATTACATTAATATTGTACAAGTGGGCGTTGAGTGCCCACTGTGCCCGTCCCTCGTTGAGCCGAGCTGAGTCATCCTCAGATCTTGATGTCGAAGCTAGTCCCACATCCACAGCTGCTTGACGCATACGGGTTGTCCGTGATCTTGAACTGGGACCCAATAAGCTCCATCGTAAAGTCCACCTTGCTTCCCTTCAGCAGATCCAGCGACGGCTCGTCAATCACCACCTTTGGTCCCTCAAACGTTACGCTGGTGGGGTCGGCATCTTCCGGCAGATATTGGAACACGGTATCGTCCTCCCCAACGACCTTGGACCAGTCCTCTGCGCTCTCGCCCTCGGGTAGGGTGACTAGGCTCATGAGGTACTGGAAGCCGTGGCAGCCTCCGCTCTCGACTTGTATCCTCAGGGCTAGGTTCGGGTTGTTGTCCTTCTTCATGATGGTGGCTAGACGCTGTACTCGCAGAACGAAGCTGTTAAATTTCGGAAACTCCCTTGTTCGTTACTCGAATGCACGTAAGCTGCACTTACCTTGCCTGCTCTATCTGTGATATCGAGCTTCATCTCTTGCCCTTCCTCGTCCGTCTTCGGGTTCCAGGCGCATCTCGTCTGCCTCCTCGTCGCGGAGGCCGTAAAGGCTCGAGTCTGCTGTCGCACCGTCCTCCCGGCAAAGCGCTGCGAAATCGACCTCCTAGTGATGGTCTCGGTGCAGCATTTCTGGGCGGTGCCGAAGCCGGCTCTCCTGGCGGCGGTAGTGGTCGTGGTGGTGGCGGGCTTCCATCTCGGAACAAGTACCGAGAGGATTGGTGCCGGGGAGTTCGACGTTGATGTTGTACGGCGCGCAAGCTGCACGAAGATGTTTGCGCTCGACGGGCTATGGATGCACCGGAGAGAAGCCATTTTGAGCTGCCTTGGAGCGATGCTGAGGTCGATACAGCGGGTATTCGTTGAACGGGGGGCGGCAGTAGGAGAAAATTGAAGATGCTAATGTTCGGTAATGAGGTAGCTTATGATGTAAAAGGTGGTGGGCGGTAGGTGGCGGCAGTTGACTGTTTGCCGCATTAGTCAGCCCGGGGGAGCTTGATGGTTTTTGTCCAATGGTAGTAGACTGATTTCAACTCCGTGACCATAATTTTCAACTACACCTCCTTATTGTTCTCCATGGATAGATTGCATTGCATTGTAGGAGATCCTGTCACATTGCGTTCATCAGAAAGATTTCTTCCCAGTCGGCTGTCTTTGCAGATGAGCCTATCGTTGTGGCGTTTAAGCTCGGTTCGGTCATCGCTGTTGTCGGAGCCGGTCCCTCGGGGCTGTGGAGACCATCGGAGGCTGCAGCTGCAATCGCCGAGGTTTCGGGACGGCCCCGGGAATTTGAGATTCGAACTCGGGGGGCAGGTCTCCAACGTATGACAGATCCTAAATTCTTATGAAAAGAGTGGTTGTTCTTATTCGGCACATCCTGCAATCTGCCTTTCAGAATGGCCAAATGAACCGAAGTTAAATGAGCTAGACGTGATAAGCTTGCCTCAAGTTTAGTACTTATACTACGTAGTACTAACTATCTTATATTGATGAGTTTCAATTTGTGTTCCTCCTTACGGTATTGTATAACCTCCCTGACTTTTTACCTATTTATCTGGTAGGCTAATTCATCCATTGGCGCAATCGATACCTCCGATGAAAAACCAGATAGGTGAAAAGATGGTCCTTAGACACTACTCTGTGCACTCAATGTTGCATATTAGCTTCGATCAAGGCTTGCATGTCTCTGCTTCTGGCTATTAACTCGCCCTTCAAAAGAAATTACGGTGCATCACCTTGAGGGATCCGGGTGAATTTGAATAAGCCGCAGAGCGATCAAAGCAGGCCATTCACGTTCTCAAGACTTGAAGTCGGGTAGTCGAGACATCAATGACACAAAATTATGGCAAGAGACGCCGATTTTCCCGAGTGAGTGTGGTACCACAATCCTCAATTCTCATGAGAAATTTTAAGACCGCACTTTCCTTTCTACCCCTTCCCACTACATGTATCTGCGCATAGCTTCTGGTTACAGATTACACCTGCCGTTATGAGTTATTCAACACACGCAGAAGGTACCCCTGACTATTTCTGTGCATCTGAGAACTATGGATGGTGCATCGTCCAAATCGTTCTTCAATCTCAACCACACGACCAGCCCCTAAGACCTTTTCTCAAGAATAACTTAGACTCTACCTAGAGACACCTACTGATTACTTCCATTCACAATGTCATTCGTCATTCACAAACTCGGCCTTGCCGACAATTTCAAGCCAACGCGACACAGGGCGGCAAGACCACATTTCGGCCGTGGCGGAGTCCAACTCCCAAATCCCGGAGGCACGGCAGATATGTCGAGCTTCATGAAACACGCGAGAGATGTCGCCGCTGGCAATGGTCTGCAAAGCGACCATACAGGTTCTCCTGAACAGTCCCCAAACGCGCCTCGGGCTACACCCCTAGAAGTCCTCTGTCTCGCCATCGCCATCTTTGTTCTTGCGTGTATCCTCGGTTTCATTGTCCTGGTCGGCATCAAAACGAGGCGCTCCCGCGCACAACATGAGGCCAATAGCTTTCCGGAAAGCAATGGTCGGGAGAGATGGAATTCACACGACACAACACAGGTTTTCATCAACGGCGTCCAGCGACGGAGCGATTCCGTGGCGGGACATGGAAGGAACGAGCTCCATCTCCTGGAGAGGGACGACACGGCTTCCCTTGCTCCAAAGCACATCTTCAGACCTTAGAGACACCTCTGATGAGCGTAACGGTGGGAACGGAAAGTTCGACGGCATATCGACGGGGCTTTCCAGCGACACATCCCGGCAATTGGAACAGCACTCCGTGGCCGACATTCGAGGGTCGATTCGTTCGAACGATGAATGTTTACCCGCACATTGTGGCCGTAGACCATCGAGGCGCTTCGACGAGCAGGGTGTGGAGAATGCGGGCTCAGGACCAACGCCCCATCCGTAGCAGCTGAGCGATAGCACGCAAACAGGACAGAACAGTCAAGGATGGACAGACAAATAAAAAGACTCTATTCCCTCGCTCGTCCCCGCCCTATCCTAGTTCACCGGCTCCTAAGGGTGATCGCACAAGGGCCCGCCAGCTTCTGGCTCCCTAGCAAGCTTCACCTGTTGCGTAGTATGTTTGTACAGCTGTATTCCAATCCGGATCGCGTCGTCTATCGATTCGACAGTCGTGGCATCTTATGCCTGCTTCCTGATCTCTCTGGCGGCCTGCTTCAGGCTGGAGTTGCACTCCTCGTATGCGCGTCCGGCTCCGAAACCGACGCCGACGAAGGCGGGCCACGCTCTGCGCTTGAAAAGGAGGACTGAGAAGACGACGCCGAAGCCAAGGCCGAGGGTAGACTTGACGAGGAGGTTGGACAGGCAGTGGTCCCACTAGAAGATGGTCAGGGATCTCGGGTTATCGATGTTGGTAACGGCTTGGGGGAGCTACCTTCTCGTTGAGAAGTGCCTCACTGACGGGGCGCGCGACGGCGCTCGGGGGAGGGGGAACGGAGGTGTCTGACATGGTCGTCGATGCCCTGGGGAGCTGATCGTCAGCGTCAATGGATCAAACGAAGAGCTAGGGAGCGGTGCTTACACAATTGACTCGATGCGCAATGGTGTTGTCGAGGTCGGAGCTTCAGCTATGGAATTGAACCAAGTGATGTTTTCGGAGAGAGCCGGCAAATTGATGATGAACACCCGAGGGCGGTAAGTCTCGGTGTGAGTCTCGGTGACTTATTCGACTTAGGTGGGGCGGCAGAATCCCGAAATTTTGGGAAAGCTCCAGCCAAAAATCGCGGGGAGTCGATGCGACTTACACCTGAGCGCACTCAAAGGATCTGCACATCTTTTGAAGTCCCTCGTGGTTGTTTGCCTATCATGGACGTAGAAATGACTGATGCAAGTCCAAGCAGGTCTTCTGAGACTATTGTAAGTTTCCCAGTCCTGTACTCAACTCCATCCTTGTCCCCTAACCGCTGTAGAAGACGTCGGACAGGGACTTGGTCAAGACAGTGCGATCGCTCGACCAAACGGGCCCCGGGGCCAATGGCGAGAACCTCGACCGACTATGGAAGCAGCTTACATCTGCCAGCCAGGTGCCCTTTTCTGCCGCTGAGGAGAGTGTCCTCCGATGGCTTCTCAAAGTCATGAAAGCGAACAACGATGAAGCCGACACAATCCGACGATTTCCCTTGACGTGGCGCATTCTCGATTGCGCATTCCAAAGAATTCCTCTATTTTCACTCGCAAAGTCCCTAGCCGATCGAAAGTTCATGGCGGTTCTTCAACAGACTCTCAAGAGCGTCGCGAAACCGAGCACCGAAGCCCAGATCTCGGATCCTAAATCGAAGAAGAGGAAAAGGAACCATGCCGCAGTCTTTGAGCTGAAGACGCTGCAGTCTTTCGAGGGCTGTCTAGGCACGGGGGAGGCCATCTTTGGTGCGTTAAAGAATCTGCTTGAACGACTGGACCCGGCGGCACAATGGTCCGCCCATGACAGGATGGGAGCAGAACACATCAAGGCACTCTTCGCCCAGCCTGCGACCGAGGCGGTAGAGTTGCTCTCGCCTCTGCTGTCCCTTTGCGACTTCTCTCTGGAAGCGTCAGACACCGAGCCATTTGAGGCGCAAGAGTCATGGGTAAAGGTCTTCTCATCCGCCTGGGACCTGCATCTTCAGGGGGGTGCCGATGCGCTTGAAGTCGCGACACACCTCTCGCGCGCATCTTTCTCTATTATGGGCAAGACTAAGAACCAGTCGAGCAAAGATGACCAAGTGGCCAAGGTATGGACGCGTGACCTCGAGAAGTTCCTCCAACGCAACCTTGTTCTACCGGCGAGGTCGGCATACCTCAACAAAACCGATCTCGAGATCGTCGTTCGTTGTTTCGCCATAATACAGAACATCGCCTTGGCCGCGGTTCCTATTTTCTATAGTCTAGTGTCATCAGCTCCGAGAGTTGTCGGAGGACTCACAACAACAAAGGCTGAGGAGGCCTGGATGCAGGAGGTTTTCAAGATGTCTGAGCGTGCCATGCGACAGCTGTCTGGTAGCGAGAAATCGCAAGCTATGGAAGGAATCCTCGATGAAGCAATCACGAACAAGTCTCGCATCGCTCCGAGTGACCTTCTGTCAGTCTGCGAGACATACGCACTCTCTGATAACCAGAGCGAGACTGACTGGCGTCTCTTGTCGCTTATTGCGAAATGTGACGCGGACATCTTTTTGCAATCAGACCAGGGCACACAGCTATTCGAGCAAGTGTGCGACAGGATCACTACAGTTGGCGCGGAGGCGGACGAGGACACTATGCGCCAGCTGATAGAGTCGTTGATAACTGGCTTTGAGAATGCCCGCGACTTATCAACATTCCTGAAGACGTGGTTCAATCAGCTCTCAAAGTTCGAGGACAAGAAGCTGCGATCCGGAGACCGGCCCGTTTGGTATACTAGAGTACACCGCAACCCGACGCTGATTGGGGGCATCCAGAAGTCCTTGACCACCAAGCAGTTGGTCAATCTGCTGCAATGGGTTGAGGAGCAGCGGGAACTCCGTCCGGCTGCAGTCTTCATCTTCCTCAACACCCTCGCGTCTGCAATCACCAAGGACGACTATGCCGATGCGGTTGGAAGCAAGCTTGCCGACATTGCGCTGAACGTCGGGTCGGCCAGCAAAACACCGTCGGATATTCGCTCCCTGCGTTGGAGAATCATCTCCAAGACTGTTTCCTGGCTAGACTATGACCAGGCCACCGCTCTCTGGGATAAGGTCCAGAAAGATCTCATAAAGGCATTACAAAAAGCTAAATTTGACGACGAAGATACGTGCGAGGCTCTGGAGTGCGCATACAACTTCTGGCTATCAATGTATCCCGACGGCCGCGACCAGACTGTTCTTTCTTCCTTGCTTACAAGCTTCGTCGAGAGACTCCTGAAGAAGGTCAAGGTGGAAGACCTCCAGGGCCTCTTCGACTCGCGAGACTTTGCAGCTTCAGATACCTCTGATGTCCCAAGATTTTGCGCAGAGTTCCCCCTCGCAGCTTCAAGACTTGTGGCTCTTCTTGCGAAGTCCTCAGGCGGTCTGCCCGACTACTTGCAACGCGCCTTGAGTGATGAGACCTCTTCCAAGGGCAGCGAGGTGAAGCTAGGCAACGTGCTTCACGCGGTTGCATCAAACGAAAACAACCTGTGCAAGAGGAAGCTGACAGCCGACGTGGTGGATCACGCCATCGACATCATCAGCAAAGCCTCAGCAAAATCTTCTCCCTGGGCTGAGCAGCAGAGCAGGATCGCCATGATTGAATTATCAAGAATCCCCGACGAATCTATCACAAGACAACAGAGGGAGTGTCTCATGGAAGTCCTGGTTCCAAAAGTCCACGCGGCAGGCCAACTAGATCCTTCGGATTGGCATCTGGTCTTGGGATTCTTGGTCAAGCTGATGTCAAGGCCAACATTTTACCAAAAAATGTCATTCGCCGACCTTCAGAAGATTGCCAACTCATTGTCAAAAGTCTGCGCGGAGAGCAACTCGAGTACGGCTCTCGGCCTGTCCCAGCTCGTCGCACAATTGGCGACATCAACCGTGCGACAAATGAATGATCACCAGGAATGGCGCACACAATACTTCAACAAGGTCCCCGCTCTTCTGAAGGACCTAGATGGCGATGCCTCCTCTGTGCAAATGACTCTGTTGAAGGCACTGCTCTCCGTTGTGCTACCTGAAGCCGGATCTGATGACAAAGCTGTTGTCATCGACAGCAATCAAATAGCTTCGGTCTTGGGAAGTCTCATTCAAGATACGTTGAGTGACTTTTCCAAGGCCTCACGAAGGCAGAAGGTCAAGGGAGACATCGTCAACCGCGCCCTAATTGCACTCGACGCAGCTGGAACTTTGCCAAAGCTGGCCGTCGCGGGGCTCAAGATCAAGGTGTCTCAGTTGGAGGAGGTGAGCCAGCAGGCGATTACAAATGGATACTTCAGCGGCTGGAAGCTTCAGGCATTCCTCATCAAGTATTTCCCGTCAAAGGTGGCAGCTGCTCGGCCGACCTCCTTTGGCCAGCTCTTCAGCAGCACGCTGCCCACACCACTACCGAGTGGCGCAGTGCCCGATCCCCTTTCTGACTTCAACAGACAATCGATATTAGAAGACATTGTTGACGCCGCTGTCGCTGGTCTTGACTACAACGGCAAGATTCAGTATGTTCAGAGCCTTCTTGAAGGCGTTGAGACAGATACTGCTCCGGCAGCCGGTTCGACTTCCGAAGGCCAACTCCTTGCCATCCGCCGTGTGATTACTCAGATGACTGGTAGGCTTCTTTTCCTCCTCACATTTGATCGATGCTCATCATAATCATAGAATCCCTTGTCGGTCTTGAAAAGTCAAAGACCTTTGACCTGGCCACAGCCCACGGCAAACTGATCAGGTACCTGGCCCAGGCCGGAACTGTACGTGAATTCGTCAGGACCGCCGAAGTCCTACAACAGCTGCTCGACGTCAAGTCGGAGTCCATGACCCAGTGGAACATTGAGACGACGCTCAGCACGGCGGCAGCAATAGTCTCCAACGACCAAGGCCACCTCCTCGACGCGTCGCCGAGCGTGTACCAATGGCTCTGCAAGCTAATGGAGGTCATCATCAAGAAGCACCGTCTCCGGCTTGAGGGCCACTACCACATCCTCGTTACCACCCTCGAAACCCTGCTCGGTGCCCTCGCTCACCCCTCATCGTCTACACAGCAACGGGCTAAGCACGCCGCACAATTCACCCGCCTCGTCACCCTCGTGTGCGAGCCCGCGGCGGCAGCCGTCTCCCGCGTGCAGCACCTCAGCGCCCTCGACTCGGCGACCGACGCGGCGAAGAGGTCGGCCGGTCGGCACATGTACCTCGTCCTCATGGCGTACGTCAAGCTGCAGCTGGACATCGACGTGCCGCGCGAGGTCCGCGAGGCGTTGGAGCCTGGCATGAACTCCGTGTTTGACATCACGACGCTCGAGGTGAGGAAGATTCTCAACGATAGCATGGATGCCAGTGGCAGGGCTATTTTGAGGGAGATGTACAAGAGGTATACCAAGTTTGGCAAGTGGAGTGGTGTGTAAGAGGAGGAAGCCCGGATTCGCGGAGGCCTGTGTGCAAGATACCCTAGACATAATGCAGTCTTTTGGTCAAAGACCATGTACATTTTTGATTCCAGCATACCTGGCTGTGCTGTCTGCAACTAAATGCTCCGGTGAGACCTTGGCCCAGAACCTGATGAAGTTCCCATCGTGTCCTGGTTTTGTACTGCAGGCCTCAGGTGGTGCAGATGAAATACACATCGACGAATACACCACAACCATCTCCGCCCTAACATCTATAGCGTAGAAATCTTTGAAAGTAAGGCATTGGCAGCGTCTGAAGTGTCCATGACCTCGTGTTGGAAAGTGACGAACGCACAATTGGGTTCTTACGAAAGGTTGCGAGTTCGGATTCGGTGGTCCTACATAATGCCACAGACAGCTCATTTGTGACTTTTTGTTTGACATCTTTTCATGTTCAAATCTTGATTCTCCTCACATAGCTCATGGGCGTAAGCTCAGCCCTACTGAGGTGGTATGAATAGCACGATAAGCGTAGTGTGTTTTGTATCGCACCTGACAAAACTCTTGATGAGTGAGGTGCCACGATGAGACGTGCGTGATGGCATAACGTCTATTTCTACGTTGAGTATGGCAATAGGTAACACATTAGGCTTCGGGTGAAGGTTAATGGATGAACAGGAACCTCGGGCTTTCATTGCAGTTGAGACGTGGTTGACGTGTTTCGTGTTGCAACCCCCTCCACCGTTGGTCGCTGAGACAAGCCCAAGGTCAGCTATCTTGTCAGGCCTATCAAAGGTTCATCAAGGTTGTGTTGGTACAGGGTGGGACTGACTGCTAGTATTCCTCCCTGGCTTCGCTCAAGAAGGTATAAATCAGGGAGACTTCCGGGCCTGCAGACGGCTGTTCTTTATACCGACCTGGATAGCGCGGGTTTCCTCTGATGGAAGGAAGATTTCTTGAATGTGTTGGGGGCTGTAATATTGAATGTCAATCTCAAAAAAATTTGGAATTGCATCGCTTCCTTTTTTAAGGGGCGATGGCAACTTTTTTCCCTTCTTAAGGACCTTGCTCTCTTGTCTTATTCCCTTCTGAATAATATTAAGGCACTGAAGAAGGAAGCGAAATGGTAATGTAGAAATACTATTCGCAGGTTATATAGCAGGAGACTAGGCCTCCTTCAGAGACCTCAAGTTTGATGGATTAATCCTAGCAGATCAAACGAACACAAGCTACCCAATTCAAGTTTCCAAAGCTCAAAGTTTCAGCCGCAGATGCTTAGAGAAGAGAGGATGGGTAGAAAGATTCCCTCATATAGGTCTTTCTGATCAGTGTCGCCAGCTTGAGAAAAGGTAGCCAAGAGTTTGGAATTGAATGAAGTATGTATGCATTTCTGAAGCATTTGATTTCAGTGAAAACTAATGACACTTTTGAAATACAATTCCCGGAACCTCGCAAATCTATGGCGAGCTCCAAAGCCACCACGTCTCGACGAAGATCTTTATACTGTCATGAAGCCGAAGGACGAGATGATGTAAAGTTGACTTCTATCCGACGTTGCCAATCCATAGCATGACTGTTTCCAACGACTGTGAGAAGCATTGTCCCGGCCTAGTTCCGAAGTAGCCCAGCGGGTAGTGGGGAGTGTTGTCCGTAGACGGGATTTGATAGTAATCATGAGATCCCCTCCCCGACGGAACTCCCCCCTTACGCCTCTATCCTAGCCGCTGGCCGCCATCTACTCCGCTGTGATTTCGATGAGGAAGTTGAAGATTTCAAGAGCTCAAAAAGGTATCTCTCTCAGACCTCACAGCGCACCCCCCTTTCCCTTCTTCTCACCCCCTACAATGTTTAGTGCTCATCCTTGTCCACATCCATGAGAGCACTATTAACCTGGACTCTCTCTACAGCCTTGCGAAACACACAAAGACCACGTCTGAACGTGATATCTAGGCCGCATGGGCTGTTTTCATAGATTGTTCGATAGCCCTATCGCTCCGCCGCCCATACCTAATATTGAGACCCTACCTCAACCTAGCCCTGGGGTATGTTATCGTATTCGAGGAATTATGTTATTCAGAGGCTCAACGACAACTCACCCAACCTCACTCGGAGCAACGGAACACAAATGCCCGGTAACTCAGTCAGACTCACACGACAGATACTTGGGAATCCAAAGAAGAACCCCTGCCGTGCTATTTATTCTTTGAGTCATTCGCGAGGGTGTATCTCACATCTTCACTCAGCGTATGTATCACCCTTTCGCCCTGCAATCGCCATCAATTCCTGTCTATGGACAATCTTCTCGCCTGTTTCTATAACAAAACACAGACCCGGTCTCAGGACTAGACTCACTTCAAGTAGGATACCAGTTCGTACATGAAAGACATTTGGTGTCATCACGTTCACCAGGGAGCATGCGCTCTCCTCAGCCCAGCATCTGTCACTTCACAATTTGGGTCCCGCGGCACAAAACCACCCCAGGGCACAACGAGAACCTGTTACTGATACGGATGCTCCAATCTCTTCTTGGATATATAATCATATTTCAGCATATTTCGGTATCCTATATATCACGTTCAACTCTCAAGCGGCCAGTTATCTGCTATACCTCTTGTGATAGCTACTGTCCCTCCCCCATCAACTCATAAAAAAAATGACCGAGAAGATCGTTCCTCGGCTGCGTCATTACCAGCCTAGCCAGTTCAGTTCAGTTCAGTTCAGTTCAGTCGTCTATTCAACCGCAACGCCGCCCAAATGCCTAGATGCATGTTCATGTCCCAATGCTTTCGAGAGCTTGTTGATCGAGGTTTCTTTGTCTCAGTTGTCACAACCGTCTAGTAAATGCCTTGCGTTCTATATTGGAAGGTGTCATAGCTAAAAAGACACGTTAGTTTGAGCTTCTCGCGGACAAGACATTGTTCAAACTTACAGCCGTGTGTAGTAGCTGCCCAGGGACTTGCCAATCAGGTCAGTCTCCACAAACTGCTCCGCTTCGTCCGCACTCAGCTGCAGCTGGAAGCGTTGACGGAGATTGTGTGTGGCCTGGACAACTCCCGCCGAGTAGCAAGGCATCTTTGAGTCACGCCCCATCATGGCCACCAAGTCGATGATGTTATCCGCAGACCGCCGCAGAGCTGAAGTTGAGTTAGCAATGTAATTTCTCCAGGCTCAATACAGACCTTACCTTGGAAAGCTTGCTTGCAGAGCTTCTTGTAGTCTTCGTAATCATCAGACCCAATGCCACCGAGCACCTCGATATACTCCTGAGTGAGCTTGAAAGGTGCCGCCTCAAAACCAACAGAGCCTGGCGAGTTGGACAGCATGAAACCAAAATCGATGTGGACAATGTGACCTTCGCTGTCGATCAGTACGTTGCCGTTGTGTCTATCCTTCAGCTGCAGGATGTATGAAATCATGCTGTAAGCGGCTAGTGAGCGTTTGAAGGCGTCCACACCCGCTTTGAAAGGCTCGCTATCCGGAGCACCGAACGCCTTCACAAAGTGATCTCTAAGCGTAGCAAACCGGCGTTTCTGACCGGGGCTTGTCTCCATCGACAATGTCAGACTTCTCTTGATGGAATGCAGCGACACGCCATTGGTGATGGTCTCAATCAGACCCGAGGACTCGCCAGTAACGAGAATCCGCATAAGCTTGACCCAGACGTTGACCTTTGCGTCAACCCAAATCTTGTGGCAGACGTCAATAAGCTGGCAAGCGAAAGCCTCCTGGCGCAAGTCGGCTCCGGTCTTGACAATGACACTGACCAAATCCCAGTTCTTCATCCATCCATACGGTGAAGTCTTGCGGATGCGCTCTTTCTTCGCTTGCCATGCCTCACCGAAGACAGCCGCGCTAGGATCGTCGCGGTCACCCTTACTCTGAATACCACCGGTTTTGATATCATTCTCCATTCTCGCCAATCCTGCGCCAGCATTGGGCCCCGGTTCAACGGGAGATTCGCTCTCGGCTTCAGGGGCCTCGGTAGCTGCAACAACAGAGTTCGCTTGAGCGGTAGAGGCTTTAGCAATGATGGTGTCAAAGGTCGGGCCCTGCTCGTCCATATCGAAACTCTGCTCTTCCAAGCTTTGCATGCTCGCAATAATCTTGGCTCGAATTGCCTGTACTTCATGTCGTGGTCGCTTGCCACTCGTAGCTTCGAGCTGAGCCAACATCTGTGAAGCCGTGCGCATGTGGGTAGCGAGCGCGGAGAAATCTGGTTGATCGACTACAGTATTAGGCCGCGAAGAGAGTGTCATCTTGCGGAGTGGGCCTGTTGGACTGCTCGATCTCGAGGTTGATGTTCTGGAGCTCCGCGGAGTTGTGATTTCTGACATTACAGTCGACATTGCAGACGTGCCAGCGCTCGGAAGACGTTGAGGCTGCGACGGCGGAACCTGTTTCCCCTGGGGTTTCTGGAAAGGATCGTCATCGTATGGCTTGATCAGGGGAGAGCTTCCCAAGTCGCCTGAAATAGGCTCAAACACGCTGTCAACTATTGTCTCTGGTGTTTTGGGCGCTATAGGTATGCGAGGTGAGTCGGAAAGGTCAAAAATACGTCGGGTATGGCCGGGATCGGATAAGAGAGTGGCCAAAAGCCTCTTGTTATCTGGCGTATCCGGATCGAATGTGAAGTCATCTCTCAGTACCTCAACCATGAGAAGATATGGCACCTTCTCTGCACTGTTCAGCACCGTCGACTCTCCTGGATTCAGACGAACAATTCGATGGTGCCGACTCTTTGCTGGGGATCCATCCACCAGGGTAGGTGGGCAAATAACTGGAACGTCCACTTCCGCCGGCAGATCTTGCGCTATAAGGGCCAGCTCCGCGCGAAGAGCACTGAGCCGAGCGGGTTTTGGCACGATTACAAGCCTGTTGGAGATGCCCTCTAGCGCGGTCAGGAATTGCGTCTCACATCTAAAGTAGTGCTGGCGCAGTAATCTTGTCTTTTGTAGCGTTGTCAAGTCAGAACCTGCGGCACCGCTCTTGAAGTGAAGAGAATGTCTCCTATTCAGAGCATCGTTCGGGCGTGGGGGAAATCCTGCCGATACTGGTGTTGCCGGTCTCGTTATGGCCAGCCTCGGGGAACGTAGCTCAGGGAGAGGTAGCGAAGAGGAGCTGAGACGGGCGTCATCGTTCTTCATGTTGAGATGAGACGGAAGACGCTTGACTTCGATGGGGGTCTTGGAGCCAGAGGAACCTGGCCGAGACGGAGATGGATCCGTCGACCGATGCTGCAAGTTAGACGACACGACGCCTGGGGATACCAGATCCGGCGCGCTGACCATCCGCCCGCCATCTTTCGTACGCCTAGACCTCGTGCTCCCAGCCGTTACCGTGTGGGCTCGCGTCACCTGCGCTGTCTTGGGGTTGCTATCTCGAGAATCGGATATGAGGTCGTCGGAGGGCTGAGGCTTCCTAGCCTGTGCCACAGCGAGTGGCCCCGCCCATTGTGGGACGAGTGGCACCGCGACACTGGCCAAGACGAAGCTCGCCAGGACCGTGACGGGCAAGATGTTCTCCTTGATCTTATCGTGCCTTGCAGCATCTGGCAGGCCGAACACAATATGCTGCACCTTGTTATATACCCTCCGGCACGTTTGAAAGGCCTTGGACGACGGATTGGAGGATAGATCGTGTAGGTACGTTTGGAATAGCCAGAAGGTCTGGGAGATTGTGAGCGAATACGGCAGCGCAACAGCGGGGAGACGAAACAAACCAGAAGCGCAGCGGTGACGGACTCTTCGCACAAGTCCAGGAGGAACTCCTCCAAGGCCATGGACTCGTTGTCGACGCTGATTATTAGGTGGCATAGCTGCGGCAGGAAGAACTCGATATCCTCGTAGGGAAATTGTCGCAGCTTATTGCACAGGACATAGTGAATGCCCACATGGTCGGCATAGCGACTAGATGAAGGAGAGAGATCAAGGGTTAGCAGAGAGGCCGTTCCAATTGCCAATTGCCGAAACAAGCGTCAATTGAGAGCATGGCGCATGGCGGCGACGGGTGGGCGCAAGGGGAGGGTCGCTCACGAAAGGTAGGAGACCGAGAGAAAGGGGTTCGAGTTGAAGACGTCGGACTCAAGGAATCGCTTGAGCAGGTCCCACGACATTGGTTACGCCACGGAGCGGAATGAAGGATGCAAGTGCAGCGAGGCTCGGTGCCTCATTTGATCATGGACATGAACGGGATTCGCAGGTCGAGGGATGGTTTCGCATGGCGGGAAGCTCAGAAGACTTGGGAGAATTGTTCGAGCAGTCGCAGCACGCAAGAGGATGGGAGACAAGACGCCCAGGTACACACGGTGGCCGGTTACTCGATGCAGATAGGTAGCTCCCTCTCCGCCGTGAATTGGATGTCGATTTGTCCACTAATCTGAGGGCATGACTTGGAAGGTGGGAGGAATGCCCCATGCACGACCCGCCGTTTCTCAGTACCAGTGCCTAAAATTTCTGGCCTCAAATTAGACTATGTCGCTGGTTACCTCAGCGAGCATGAACCTTGGGCGGGAGCCTCTCACCTCTGAGCCTCTGAGCCTGAGGAGGGGGCCAGCCGCACCTTGAGAACAAGAGTGCCGGACCCAAGAGGATCAAGGTCGCGCGCTAGGACGAATGGGGGCGACGGCCAAACCCTTGTCTGCGGGGCATCATCGTTTTATCTACATATGTGACGTTATTTGCATTCGATTCCTGAGCTCCCTTTTTCACTGCCCATTGGTGAGATTTCATTCTCATGGTGAATCTGTGAAGGATATACATAGACAGGGTAAAAATTAATGTAGAAAGCTGGAGAATGTCACTCGATGAAGCATAGTCCAACAACGATGTCAAGTTCGAATGTGCCATAGTAAGGTGCGGATGAAATATAGTGTAGCCACCTCATATGAGCAGGGTGTTTTGGAGCGAGTGGAAAGTGAGTTCCACATGAGACGTCCCCTGGTGAAGGTACCTACCTCAGCAAGACGCTTCAAGGCGCGGCTCATCATCATCCCGTACACATTACGAGAGGAATGGTGTGCAAACGATAAGATGTTTTCATTCTACAATCGTAACCAGGCTTGTCCAAGACAGGCTCGATGCGCACGTAGAAAGACAAGCCGTCCATGGCATGCAAGTCGAGGAAGCAGCGCTTGTTCCTCCTTTCCATAAGGTAAACCATGTAATATTTCCCCCCAGGTGCGGCTCGACGAGTTTATCGCCGTGTCGCCCAACGCCGATGTAGATGCTATCCAGTCCAACGCCAATCCTCATAACCCTTGTCATATTTCTCGTCATGGGAAATTTCCCTTCCCTCGCCTTGAAACCCCAGCTGAATATGATGGAACTCATGCAGCGGCCTTCTTCTTACGACCACCCTTGCCTTTCTTCTTCGTCTCAACTTCCATCTCCTCGTCGCTTGACGACTCGGCCTTGGAGCGGCCGCCTCTCTTCTCTTCGTCGCCAACCTTTGCGGCAATGTCGGCCAAGAAGTCATACTGGCCATCTGTCTCAATGACTTGCTTGAGCATCTGCGCCGTGACACGCTTGGAGTTCTTCTCCCGTGCGATTTCGGCACTTCGGCTGACAACAGCAATCATGAACATCTCGAGAGCCTTGCCAACAGCAATGGGAGTCTGCTGGGCAACCTTGCCAACCTCCTCATCAGCCTGCATGATACGCTTTATCCTGGCTGTGGGGAACTTTGTCCGAACAGGTGAAGGATCAATTGGAGGTGGCGAGTCAGCCTGCTTTGTGTTCTTTCTGGGAGGCATAGTTGCTGAAGCAGGTGTTTGTGGTAGATGTTGTGAATCTGGGTTGTACGGAATATCGTGTAATTGGGGTGCTCCACCAAAGTTTTTCTGCTCTAAAAATACTTGGCTTTGAGGTGTTTTGGGCTGATGAGGTTGCTGTTCGTGATAGTTGAGAACGGGCTGTATCCCATACGCGCTTTGCATATGTGGTGGGGGGTGTTGCGGAGATGGGTGATGGTGTGGCGGCGACTGCTGGTGGTACTGAGGAGACAGGTAATGTTGTTGGTGTTGGTGCTGCTGTTGCTGTTGCTGCTGGAGCGGTTGGTACTGGTGCTGGTGCTGGTGCTGGCCTTGGTGGTGGGGTTGTAGCGGTGGCTGATAGGAAGAGAATTCCGTTTTGATTGCCACTGGTGATGAGAAGTGGGGCTGTTCTTGTTTGATGTGAACAGGAGTAGAAGATGACTGGCTTGAGTGGTGAATGCGTGCTGAGGGGGAGGAGTATTCATATACGGGCGGTGGTGCAGCAGCAGCAGACGCAGACGGAGACGGAGAGGTTTGCAGCTTGCTCAGTTGTTGCTGGTAGTGCTGCAGACTGTGAGTGTGCAGTGGAGGTGTAGGCGGGGCGGGTGCTGCCGAGAAAAAAGAAGAGAGGTCCGGCGACTTTGGTGCGTAGGTCGTGTCGTCCGCCATTTTTATTACTTTTTCCCCCCTCTACCTCCGGCCCTTCTGGAAAAATTGATGGCCGCTCTTTTTTTTTTTTTCCAATTTGGAAGTGGAGGCCAAATGACAGGGGGCCTTGGCTGGTGCCCCGAAAAAAATTGGCCAAGGTTCCAATCCAAGTTTGGCTGGCGTGGTACACTGGATGATTAAGCGAAGGGCAGGGACTGATTTTTGAGTACAAAACCCAGCCTGCACCCCCGCCTCTTCTCTGCCGCTATTGGAGTATGGTTTGCTCCAACACGAATAATCTTGCAATGTTTGTTTGATTGCGTCCAATGATGGATGTGTTCCGTCTTTAGTCGGTGAGTGGATAACGATCCAGGAACGCACGGCGTATGAGTCCTTACGCAGGCTTGTGCTGTTACGTGCGGTGAACGTCAGGTAGTGACAGTCTAGTCCACCGTCATATAACCTCGGGAGTCCGAGGGCGTAAGAGTCCGACAGGCGCAGGGCCAAGGCCAGGCGTGCTGTTGATGACAGCAAATCGAGGCAAAGTGTCGCTGCCAAACTCGGCCTGAAATATGATAGCAAGACGAGACAGGGCGCAATCGCCTTTGTGAGAACTGTGAGTGTTTTGCGTATGTAAAACAGCTTCTGCCAACGTGTTTGGCAGCGCTGCGATACAGGAGCAAGTGATGAAGAGACAAGATCAAAGCCAGTACACGGCCTACAATGTGATGGGTTCGTGGTGGGTATCCTCGACACCCTAGCGTGTTTGCAACGGTGTACTGGACCTGGACGGTGGATGACAGAATGTTGACCAAAACCGTACGAAGGGCCTGTTGGCAGATTTGCAAGTCGAGGGTAGTATGGTAATGCTTCCCAGACCCAGCGTGATGCGGCCACTTGCAAGAGAGAGAATGCAGGTTCACCAAGCTCTTAGCGAGTCTGCCTGGACGCCGAGAGCCAACGTTGCCACTGGCCAACGCTGGTGTTGCTTCAGAATGCAATCTAGATAACCCAGACCGCGTGAGAGTGAGAGACTCAGTGCGGCCTGAATAAGTGGTGAATGATGACTGGCGTTGTGAGGGTTGGCTGTGAATTAGGCTCGTCCAAGATGTTGAAATGCCGGATAGGTGGTCTATCGATCCAAGGTGTGTAAAGGGCGTTTTTGCTGAGTCAGACCTCGAGACTGGGAGTGACACTCGATAAGGTTTCGGTGTGTCTAGCGAGCCAGGGGTGGTGGAGGTTCTGTAAGCTTGGGGGTCTTGGGGCGTGCGACGTGGTCAGGCGTTCCTGTGCGGGGCAGCAGCGGTACTGTCGGAAGCGGCCTGATGCTTTAATGTAGTGGTGGGAGATGTTCAGGATGGAAAAAAGGGGGTTGCGTTTGAACGGGATTGTAAACTGAAGTTATGTACGGAGTAAGAGGAGTAGGATTTGTTGGCGTTGATCTTTTTGCAAGTCCAGGTCGCAAGGTTTGGTCAATCGAGCCTCAAAGTTGACATGCGTCCATCGGGAAGGATGCAGTCAGTCTGACAGGCAGACGAGGCAAGGCCAGGCGGCAAGTAGGTAGGCAGGCGCAGACGCACACAAGTACGGGAAGGCACACTCGGGTAAGTGCGCGCCTTATCGAAACCTGCCCTGAAAATCGAGGTGGTAGATGGGCTGGAACGAATGGGAATGATTGGATGGGAAGGACACTGAATGGGAGGGAAGGAGCGACGGCCGTGGAACGATGCGACGGGTCGAGAAACTGCGGAGGGGCAGACGGCGATGCGGTGCGGTGGTACGGTGGGTGGTGCGGTACGGGTGCGGTCGGTGGCAGGTGCAGCCAGCGGCTGGGTGGGCTCCTTCTTTTCGCGGTGTGCGGGTTCTTCTACTCCTGGCGATGGATCACGGTGGGAATGTCCACCGTTTATATGCGCGTCGCGGGTCAGAGCTCCTTCCCAACTCCCCTTTTTTGCTGCCCTCTGCTTTCCCCCCCAAAAACACGCCCAGGCAGGGGTCACGCTGCCATGCTGATTGGGTCAGGATGCCCGAGCTGTGGCCACGCCTTCCCAAATCCTGCATGAGCACAGCCGCTAGTCCCCTGCTTGATGGCCTCTGTACCTTTCCGCGCTAGCTAAGCTATGTCGGTACCTGCCTGGCCATCCACCTTCCTTAGGTCCATCAGGGAGCACGGAACCTGGAAGGTAAGGTATCTTCAAGGCGTCCCAAATGTTCACTTTGCGCCCGCGCTGGCACGTCCTTCTTCAGTTCCATTTCTTGAACAACGCTTCTATTGTCCTCCTCCTTTTTCTTCTTCCTTTCCCAACTTGCACCCGGATCTCTTCAGTCGTCCTATTCGCCCAACATAGTCGCGGTTCATCGGCGTCATCACTGATTTCGCCACATGGTCGATGTCTCCCCCTTCGTCCCAGCTTGCCGCCGCATGTCGCAACCTCGCAGACGTGGCTGCATCTCAAGGCGCGAAGTAACGTGAGGCAGGCTGAAAAGGATGGCTCAACCGAAGCAAGGTAGGCCACGGCAGGCTGGCTGATCTCTTTTACCGTCTCAGCTCCAGCTCTCCTCATCAATTTCGGTCCCTGTTTTCAGATTCTAGACCTGCCCTGGTTTACGGCGCAACCTCGAACTTCGAGAAAATCTTGTCTCATTACCCACCCGTTCACTCTCGACACGCCTTGATACCTCGTGGCCTTGACCTACGTGCGAGCTTGCTTTGTCTTGATGAGACACCCGCCATCGTCAAACCCCGCTGCCATCTACCCTCAATGCTGCCTGGAGCTGGCAACCTCCCTGCACCTTAGGCAGACGAGCTCTTTCTACAGTGCGCCATCATCAAAGACCCCCGTCGTCCGAAAAAGATGTTTTCTGTCGCAAAGCCGTCGCGCTCCTCGACTCGTCACTGTTTGAACCACACATGACTTCATCCGAGACCCACCACAGCTCCCTGCCCATCCAAGCTTTGCGACGGCACCTCGGGCGGGTGCCCCCCCCGTCTAGGTCACCAATCGCCCTTCCCGCCGGAGCGACTTTGTAGCGGGGCTACCTGCGAAGAACTTGTCTGCATCCTTCAACGCGTCTTCGCGAAATGTTTGTCGCCGTTTTTCTGAACAGATATCACCCTATTACCGTCGCAATTTCCTGTCGGCGGACGGCCCGGTATGCAGGAACGCAACTCAATCATGCAGGTAATCAAACCACTAAATTCTATTGTTTGCGCCATTTTCTATGGGTGCCCAAGGATGAAGATAACGAAGAGAAACAGCTGGAGACCACCCCAAGAGACCACGACTGTAGAAACCGAGTTATCCCAACTCAGGTTTCGAGGTTGGCGTGCCTCGGTCTATGACAGTTTTTACTTGATCTAATCAGACTTTTTTTTTTTTTTTTTTTTTTTTTTTTTTTTAAACCATCAATCTGCCTTTGACAGGCTTTCTACTGGATATGTTTTCTGATGGCTGACGTGAGTGTTCGCAGACCCTTGAGTCTCTTGTCCTCGGTGCTTGACAGGAATAACGAAACAACGGGCCAGGCGTGTATACCGCCATCCTCGCTGCGACTGTCGACCTCGGTACTTTTGACCAAGACGTTAATCAGGTCCTTGATGTCGGGTGCGAACACCTCTTCTGATCCGTACGTGATAAAGAAGCCACGAAGTGGGCTAGCTTCCGCCCACACCCGAGGATCGGCGCACTGCCCAGGTGACGCGGTCTTGTCATAGACATGCGCTGCCCCGGCATACTGCACCGCGTATTTCCACAGTGTGTCGCGATCCAGAAAGTCGCTGGCCGTATTTTCATGCTTGTTGGAGATGAGCTTGGCCCATGGCGAAATCAAGACGCAAAGCCCTGGAAGCGGGGATTCTGAGGCCTGGCGCAAGTGCTCCTGACTTCGACCCTCAGATGCGGTGGAATCGTCACTCTTTTCCTTGAATGCCCGAGCCTCGTTCATATGGCCCAGCTCCAGCAACAGCGTCAATATCAGGGTTGCTCCCGCCGAGTCTCCCGCAACGACCACCTTCCGGGGGTCTCCAACTTTTTTTAGAACATGCTTATAGCCCCTCAAAGTCTCGTACATTTGCCTCGGGTACATTTTATCGGGCACGAGGGTGTACTCGAGAGAGAATATGGCAGGGTTCCGGTAGCCGGCTTGGACGAGTAGCGAGTGCCATGACAGAAGAAACTCGAGGTAAAAGTACGCGGAGCCCATGGCGAAACCGCCTCCATGGGCGTAGTATACCACAATGTCGGGCGTTTGCGATGCATCCTTTTGGATCCAAACCCCTTCGAAGCCGTGTTGGCCCTGTCGTTTAATTCAGCCACCGGCCATTGTGCACTGAGATGTAGGTTACACTCACC